TCGCGTGGAACGTCCCACGTGGCAGCTCCATGAAGAGAGGGGGCCGATGTGCCGCGTCAGCCGCATGCCTGGGTGCTGACCACGCTCAGCGCCCGCAGATCAGACGCCCCAGATTGAGTCACTCTGACGTCTCCAGACGAGATGTGCAGATTATCCCCAACCCGGAGTCGGGCTCAGCCCTCTCCGGGTAGAACCCGACCGGCAGCCCCGGCTCCGGCTCCGGCCGAGCCCTCGGAGCTCTTGCGCAAGGAGCTGCGGCAGCAGAATCCCAGGCACCGGGGAAAGTGTGAACTCGGCAGAAAAACGTGGATGGAGGACGAGCCGGGCCCCGGCTCTGCCGAGGAGGTGTCGCAAGGGCTCCCCAAAGCAGCCCCAACGCCGCGTAAAGTTGTCTGTAAAGCTTGGAAGAAACGCGCTCTTTAAAATTAGGCACCAAAGCAGGTGATTAAGCACCAAAACAGGTGATTAAGCACCAAAACAGGTGATTAAGCACCGAAACAGGTGACTCTTGCCCCAAGCCAAACACCAAAGTGCTCCTGGCTCAGCTCCAGCTTCTCACAGGCATTGCCTGCTCAGCATCTTTGCTTGGGTTGAACCCAGTGACGTTCCCCAGCTCCAGAGCCCTTCAAAGGGGGGGGGATTCCCTCTTCCAAGAGCCCACTGCCTGTCCCGGACCTCTCCCTCGGTCTGCAGCTTCCTGACCCGCTCTGGGGACACCGGCAGCTCCCGGGGGCTGTTGTGGGACTCCTGATCCACCCCGACAGCGTTTTCTGCCCCTTTGATCTCTCCCTGTGGCGAAGGAACCACAGCACAGCTCAGATCAAACACACCAACACTCCCCTCCCAAAGCCCCTGTGGAGCTGCTCCAAATCTCTGCCTCCTGCTCCGGGAGGGAGGAAGAGCCACTGGGGGAGTTCCTCGGCTTTCCCGGGAGCTGATGGGGCCTGGGCTCCGGGCTTTGGGATGAATCACCCCTTCCCAGCCCGCCGCGTTCCCACGGCTGAAATCGGGGCTGGCTCGTGGCTCTCCAGCATTCCTGGTGCTCACATCCCACCCGGCCACAGCCCAGGTGTGCTCCAGAGTGTGCTGGGCCGACGTCCTTATCCCTGTTCCCCTCCCACGGGGCTCCTGTGCTGCCCAAAGTCCACTCCGGGGCAGGAAACTCAGATGAGCCGACAACAGGCTGATCCCGTGGCTGCTCCCACCTCCCGCGGCCGATTCCCACCAGAAGGCAGCTCGTTGGGTCTCCGCTGGTTTGGCCACGAGGCACCGGGAGTGTCCCCGCCCAGATCCCGGGACTTGCTCTCGGGGGGTTCAGCAGAGCCTCCCAAAAATCACAAATCTGAGGGAGGTCGGGAAAATCCCTTTCCCGGAGCTCCGGGGACGGGGGTGTTGCCCCGTCTGGTGAGATGGGACGTGGGCAGTGAAGCCCCTCCAGGCAGAGCCCTAAAACCTGGGCTGGGGCTCCCTGGACCTCCACAAGGGCTGGGAAGGTGCTGGACCCCCCTGTGCTGGAGGTTTCCAGGCCCAACAGTTGCAGTGGAAACGACTCCACAGCGTTCCAAGGGCGAGCTGGGTGGTTCCCTAAATCAGGAGACGCCCCAAAATCGAGCAGCCTCCCGGATTCCTCCAGTTCGGGCTCCTGCTGTCACCGAGCGTTGTGTGAGTGGAGCGTTCAGCCCCCACAGCTCGGGTTTGTGGCTCCAGGGAGAGCCGAGAGGCATCACCTGAGCTTGGGCACTGCCCTGCTCCATCCCCGACCCCCGGAGTTCCCTCAGAGCACAGTCACAACACGTCGGGCAGCAGAACGACCCCCAAATCCCCACCCAGCTCCTTCCCCGCCCTGGGGCAGCTCCCGAAGCAGCGACACAACGAGCCGGTGAATGTTCTCTGCAGTTTATTGGGAACGGCAACATCCCGGGGGAGGAGGGCGGGACACGCGCGGAGGGTGGGCCACAGGCACGGGACAGAGCGGGGAAGAGGAGTTTTATACAGGTTTGCCACGAGAAATGTCCAACCCGGCGAGGGGGGGCAGCTCCCCGTGCCGGGACCCCGCCGGCATCGCCCCCGGACCCCGCGCGGCACCGGGAGCGGGGCCGAGCCGGGCGGGGGGGACGCGGCTCGTCCCACGGCGGGGCGGCCGAGCTGGGGGTCGGGGGGCTGGGGCTGCTGCCGGCGGGACGGAGGAGCTGCTGCTCGGCGGGGCTCAGAACCGCACCCCCGAGGACTTCACCGAGGTGGTGGTGACGCATCTCCGCACCGAGGACGAGCCCCCGCCGGAGCCGCAAATCCTCCCGCTGCCGGAGGAGAAGCCCCCGCCGTACACCCCCCCGCCTATCCCGCAGCTGCCGCCTCCGAAGCCGCTTCCTCCTCCTCCTCCGCCGCCGCACATCCCTCCTGCCATCCCTCCTCCCATCCCGCTGCCGCCGAATCCTCCCCCCATCCCGCAGCTGCCGCCGCCGAATCCTCCTCCCATCCCGCCGCCTCTGCCTCCGGAGATGCCGCTCCTGCCGACCACGGCTGGAAGAGGAGCAGAAGGGCGGGTTACTCACCTTTACTCACCTGCGCTCCCCAAAGAACCCGTTCCAGGCCTCCCCAGGGCCCCCCGGGACAGACACTCACACACGTTGACGTTGGACGAGCTGTCGTTGCAGAGCCTGGGGGGGAAAACGGGAGCGGTGAATCCCCCGGGAAGCGCCCGCTCCTTCAGCCGGGAATTTCCCTTTCCCGACGTGTTTATATTCCCTTTTTTTTTTTTTTCTTTCAGAATTTCCCAGTTATTCTTTTAAAAAAATGAGCAACCGATTCCCTACTTTTCCAGAATTTCCCAGTTATTCTTTTTTTTTTAAAAGATATTTATTCCTTATTTTTTTTTTCAAAGTTTTCTAATTATTCTATGAAGAAATAAGCAACAGATTTCCTATTTTTTTCGGAGCTTCCCAATTGCTCTCTAAAGAAATGAACGACTTATTCCCTATTTTTTCAGAGTTTCCCAATTATCCTTTAAAGAAATTAACGACTTATTCCCTATTTTTTAGGAGTTTCCCAGGTATTCTTTAAAAAAATGAACCACCTACTCCCTACTCTTTTAGGAGTTTCCTGGTTATTCTATAAAGAAATGAGCAGCCAATTTCCTAATTTTTTTCAGAGTTTCCCAGTTATTCTTTAAAAAAAAAAAAAAAAGAGCAACCTCGAACCTCACATTTTTACGAGATGGAAAACAAACTTAATAAAATTAAGGAAATTAATTTATGATTAACACGCTTGATTTATACTTGGTAATTAGAGCACACGTGACGCTGAGTGCACTCACTTTAGCGTGCACTCAATGATTTTACCCGCACGTGGCGTCACTAATTCAGTCAAATAAATGCAAATGAGGCGAGGTACCTGTTCTCCTCCCCCTCCAGCAGCTTCCTGTACATGGCGATCTCCACGTCCAGCGCGATCTTGACGTTCAGCATCTCCTGGTACTCCTTCAGCAGCCGGGCCAGCTCCTCCTTGTCCTTGCTCAGGGCACATTCCAGCTCCTCCAGCTTCCTGCGGGCGTCCTTGAGGG